GATGTCCGCGGTGCTCTGGAGTCAAGACAGAAGCGATGAAGTACCAGGAGCATTGATGTCCGCGGTGCTCTGGAGTCAAGACAGAATCGATGAGGTACCAGGAGCATTGATGTCCGCGATGTTCTTGATTTAAGGAACAACATGAATAGTGAAACATGCATAAATTAGCATAATGAGGATTAGAACTCCATTCCATATCAGTCTGCATCAGATGACACACTCAAATGACGTGCCCTATCCTGTTACAAACGCGGTCCTCCTGACGGTTACGGATACGATTCCTTGACAGACATGATCCTTTTTACACTCACGGTCCTGTTGGAGAAGCTTCACTGGTGTGTTACAAGTTGTTGATAATAAAGGATTGTGAATCTTTTAAAATTAGGCATTTTTGTTATGTTTTTTGCTTGTTTTCTTGTTGTTTCTGTTTTTGTTGTTGTTCTTGTTTTTGTTGTTGTTTCTGTTGTTGTTATAGTTCTACGAGCTCTCTATCTCTATTTCTCTCTCTCTCTCTCTCTCTCTCTCTCTCTCTCTCTCTCTCTCTCTCACTCGTTCTTTCTCTTTGTCTCAAACTCTTTCCCCCTCTCTCTCTCTCTCTCTCTCTCTCTCTCTCTCTCTCTATCTAGGTTTGCTTTAAGACAGTGACATAAACAATGTGACCTTGACACACCACATACGCTTAAGCCCCGTTGTAACACTGAGCTGGTAGTGGAGTAGAACTAAGACAGGGATTAATTACACGAAGGACTCCCAAGCTGTGCATGACCGGGTCCGACGCAGCAGGCTGGGACTAGGCCAAGTAGTGGGAGTCACTGTTCACTTGCGGATAGGTTTAACAACACGAGATTGTTGACAGCTGTAGACCTTAATAAGGGCAACACATCTTTACTGTAGTCATTGGATGTTGTGTGTCATGTGTGGTGTGTCATGTGTGATGTGACATGTGTGGTGTGACATGTGTGGTGTGTCATGTGTTGTGTGTCATGTGTGGTGTGCCATGTGTGGTGTGTCATGTGTGGTGTGTCATGTGTGATGTGTCATGTGTGGTGTGTCATGTGTGGTGTGTCATGTGTGGTGTGTTGTGTAGTGTGTCATGTGTGGTGTGTCGTGTGTGGTGCAACATATGTGTTGTCACATGTATGGTGCGACAGGTATGGTGCGACATGTGTGGTGTGACATGTGTGGTGTGACATGTGTGATGTGACATGTGTTATGTGTCATGTGTGGTGTGTCATGTGTGTTGCAACATGTGTGGTGCGTCATGTGTGGTGCGTCATGTGTGGTGTGTCATGTATGCTTTGTCATGTGTGGTGTGTCATGTGTGGTGTGTCATGTGTGGTGTGTCATGTGTGGTGTGTCATGTGTGGTGTGTCATGTGTGGTGTGTCATGTGTGCTTTGTCATGTGTGGTGTGTCATGTGTGCTTTGTCATGTGTGGTGTGTCATGTGTGGTGTGTCATGTGTGCTTTGTCATGTGTGGTGCGTCATGTGTGCTTTGTCATGTGTGGTGTGTCATGTGTGCTTTGTCATGTGTGGTGTGTCATGTGTGGTGTGTCATGTGTGGTGTGTCATGTTTGGTGCGACATGGTTTGTGTCACATGTGTGGAGTCACATGTGTGGTGTCACATGTGTGATATGAGATGTCGGTGGTCGGTGATGTAGCGTGATATATGTGGTGTAATGAGGTAATTATGAATGATGTAGTGTGTAATGTTTGTTTGGATGTCCATAGTTATGAATGATGTAATGTTTCATGTGTGGTGTAAAAAAAAGTGTAAATATAGGTGCTGTTTAAAGCGTTCAATTCATAAAGTCTTTTGGCTTATGCTGCACATATTTGACCGATTCATCTGTATGGATGTCAGATGGACGATGTTAAAAGCTAGTTTTGACCGGATTTTTTTTTTTTAAATAATGGGACAAAGTGGTCCACTTGTTATTTCAAGCATTTGTCTTGCATAGATATTAAAAAAATTGGCAGACGGCAGCCTCCCATCATTTCCCACCCCCTTATAAACTAATGCTACATGCAAAGACAAAAAAAAATGCATCTCTCTCCGTCAACTGTCCCCTCTACTGGTGTACGTTAGGGACTTATAAAATATCATGTCCTTTTGACATGCTTGTGAGGAACAGTCTTTACTTGATTACGGGTTAGGGTTTAAGGCCTAAAAAAG